CCCTGACAATCATTTTATCCCCAAGCCCATCAAAGAGTACTTCATATATATTTCTCAAATTTGTTTGCATTTCCACTATTGTTATCTAAAGTTCAGATCATTACAGTCATTTACCCAGTCTGTTAGAGGAGACGCTAAGAAGGGACTTTCAGATCACCTAATGAGCATTGTCAACTGCATTACCTTACAGTCTTGTGTAGCTTTTTGTTTTTCCTGTTGTTCTTAATTGCCTTTCCTTTTCTTATATTATTTGCCTTTATGATATACTTAGTAAGGGGGAAAAAAGAGAGGGAGAGATCATGTATATTTTCTGTCAAATTCCCCTTTGACCCAAGAGTCTTCTATTCTTTTGCTCAGTTTAGATTAGTTCCTGCTTAGTCTGTTGTCTAACTGTTCTTAGGCTTTCCTCACTGGCTCTACTGTGTGCAGGATTCACTGTTTTCTCGCTTCCTCTCCGAATAACTTCTTAAGAAAGAGTATATGGGGGGAAAAAAGAAAGAAGAGTATATGGGGGCAATGTTTCATGAATCCTTGTACATCTGGATTGAGTGTACATTCCTATTTGATTGATAATTTGGCCAGGTAAGGTTGAAAGTCATTCTCTCAACCGATGCCTTCGGAGATATTTTGTGCCCTGGCTTTTAGCAATCAATATTGCTACTGAGAAGCAGATGCCTGTCTACTTTGTAGATGCTTTCTATTTAATTGATTTTACTCTGAAAGCTTTAGGGTCTTGTCTTTATGAAATTCCACAATAATGTGATTAATTCTAAATTTACTTTTCCCCCCTTCCAATTCCCTACACAAGGAGGGTTTTTTGTGTAGCGATTCTCTCAACTTTGAGAATTCAACTGTGCTTTTCCTTTGATTCTGTCTCCCTCTTTTCTCAGTTCTTTCCTTCTGAAGCTCCTGATACTACTTCCTAGATTGAGTCTCTGTATCTCTTAACTTTTCTTTCAAAAATTTTAATCTACTTTTTCTGCTTTTGGGGGTGTGCTTGATTTCCAATGTTCTATTGAATTAAAGTTTTTAGTTCTGCAACTATGTTTTTAACTTCTAAGAACTCTTTCTTGCTCTCTGATCTCGTCTTTGCTTTATGGCCATATTATCAACGTGGATTTCCCTGTAAAAATATATTCTCAAAAGCATTATTTCTTTTTGGATGGTTGCTAGTTGGCTTATTCTTGGTCTCTAAATTTTAATCCTAGAATCTTCATCAAGTCCAGGAATCTTGGGCTTTCAGTTTATATTCAAGCATAAGTCAATAAAAGAGCTGACAGCAAACTCATTGGTTTTGGTTGTTGTTGATTTTCCACTCAGACTGCACTCTCTCCCTCTCAATCCGCACAAAGGCGGAGAAGAACGATCATCAATGGCAAGCAGCAGCTGCAGCAAAGCAGCACCAGAAGCCGGCTTCACACTCAGGAGAGAATGCTGCGCCTCCTCCTCGTGGTTTTCGGTGCTCTGCACGATCAGAGAAACCTCTCTAGTAACCAACTATAGAAATGACCCCTGAAAGTATAGTCTTAGCAAGCTCATTGTTGATGGCAGAGCTTAGTGACTTTGTTTTAGGATGAATGGGTGGAGCATCAATGCTTTTCAGTACCTGATTTTCAATATCGTTATGATTTATTTGATGGTAGAACACTCTGATTTGAGTTGGGCATTACCTGCTGCCAGTATTATAAGTGAGCTGAGAGGTGGAGGTTGATTTTTCTTTTTGTTTTTTAAATCATTTTATTGGGGCTCTTA